TTATCAAACCACCTTTTTAAGGATAAAATATGAATTAGTATCTTAGTTATGATTTACTATTGTTGTGAAGAGACACCGTGAGCATGGCCATGCTTATAAAGAAAACATTTAATTGAGGGTGGCTAGCTTATGATTTCGGTGGTTCATTCCATTATGATCATGAAGGGGAGCATGGCAGCATGCAGGCAGACATATACACTATACAAAGTCCTAACTCCATGCACTGTAACATTGCTGATTCTTAACATGGGAACTTTTTTTCTTTTTTATATTATTTACTCTCTCCTTAAGGACTTCCCAGGTGTCTAACCATATCTGCTGGCTTCTCAGCTTGTCCAAAGCAATGGCACTGTCATCGGAGAGCTCAAGCCCCTCCCATGATTTCCAAGGGTGAGTCCATGTTCTAGAGTCCTGAGGTCTCAAGAGAGGCCCAGGGGAGACTGCAGTGGCACCAGCCGACAAGATTTCTCTCTCCATAATTCGCGCCATGTGATGTTTGTCTACCAGCTTAGAGGCTGCACATGAATCAACTGGTATTTTAATCATTGTCTTCGGCCCTATGGCTACTCAGTCAACATCCCACTGGCCACTGAAGCCATGGCCTCGTGGAGCCTCTGTTCTCATTGCCCAGACTCTGTTGCAGCCGCCATATGTAGGTTTAGATTATCTATAATTCCACTTAATAATAAAACTCAGGTGTCAAAGGATGAGGTAAAAACCTGTAGCTCAGAGACCCTGAGTAGGAACTAGTTGATATTTCTTTTTAGTCAGAGACACTGCAAGAGACACATCTCTTTCCCTGTCCCAGAACCAAAACTCCATTCCTCACTCTTTCCTTCCTGTGCGTCCTCTCTATCCAAGTTTCCAGATTCTCTCTGGCTAACTGCAGTCAGCTAGTTGCTGGTTCCAACATGATTCAAGGTTTAACTTTATTGGCAAGTCTCCAGAGTTGTCAGAATGCAATAAAAATATCCCACAACAGAAACAGGCAGTGGAAATGATGTAATTCTAATCCCAAAAATTAGGTTAGAAAGTTGAAACAGGCTTTCTGACCATGTGCTCCAGAGACTAGGGATTTGAATGAGGGCACACCTCAAGGCTTTTCTCTCAGGCTGAACATCACACACTGGGAAACATGGTCTTGTTAGGCAGGGGCACACATTTTACCCAGATCCTCTATTACGGTTGAACTAGAGTAACTACAGTCATTTGGCTTCACGATAAATTCAATTCTCTTCCCACATTCCTGATTTCCTGGTCTGTAGTGCTAGGACACATCAATAATCTAGCACTGATTACCCTACTACTCAATCCTAATGTCAACCACTGTCACAGCTGGAAAGCTTTCATCCTCCTTCCTGCCATCCCTTTCTGTGCTGTGATTACACCCGTTTTATACATGAATTAAATTCTTACACAGGTCCCTCTTTGTTTGTGAGTCCCCAATAAAAACCAGAGAAGTTTGAGGACACTCATTCATTGGTCTGTTTTTCCTTCTCATAGACCAGTCAAGGTCCAAAAAGGAGTGGCAGGACTATTTCAATCCCTGGGCAGCAGAGGCAGGACTAAATGTTCCAATCAATTATCAATTACATAGTGTGAGACAAGCCTGAGCTATGGGAGAAACTGTTCTAAATATATAGTCAACAGCACCTGAGGAAAATGGAAATTATTAATGACTAGGAAATATTTGAGAATAAAGCATGTAAAATTAGAGCAATGATGCATATAAATAAAACCAAACTTTTTGGTTTTTTTGTCTTTTTTTTTTTCGAGACAGGGTTTCTCTGTGGCTTTGGAGGCTGTCCTGGAACTTGCTTGGTAGTCCAGGCTGGTCTCGAACTCACAGAGATCCACCTGCCTCTGCCTCCCGAGTGCTGGGATTAAAGGCGTGCGCCACCAACGCCTGGCTAAAACCAAACTTTTTAAGTGAAGACAATAATTGCCTTAAGAAACAATTGAAAATACACATAGCTCTACTGACTTTGAAAAAGAGCAGGCCATTCTCTGGTAGAAGGAATGGCATTAAGATACTGTTTGACCTTGCCCCTGTATGTAATGTTAGCTTGACACACACAGCTCCAGCAAATGGCCTTTTACTAAACCAACTGAGCTGATTTAACCATATCAATATGGACTACCCATATCTGCAAACGAAAGTCCCCCAGTTGGAAATTCAGAGTTTATTGGCTCAAGCTAATCTCCCCAAATTGTACACCTACCAATCTGGCCTGGCTTCCTTTACATTACATGAATAAATGCATGCTGGTAAACTACAAAATCACTCCCCCTGCCACAATCAGGTCCTTTTTCATAATAATCACTCCATCAACTGATTATTTACCCTGTTTCCCACTGGGCTGTACAAAATAAACCATTCCTCCTATTCTGATCTGAAGGCAAAAACCATGATCCTCATACAAATCTTTTCCAGTTACTACAATGGACAGTTTATTACATAACTCAAATTAGTAATTTTAAAAGTCAGTAGTGGTACAAATCTTTTTTTTTTTTTTTTTTTTTTTTTTTTTGGTTTTACGAGACAGGGTTTCTCTGTTTTGGAGGCTGTCGGTCCAGCCTGGCCTCGAACTCACAGAGATCCACCTGCCTCTGCCTCCCGAGTGCTGGGATTAAAGGCGTGCGCCACCAACGCCTAGCTAGTGGTACAAATCTTTAATAATTGAGTTGCTTTAATCAAGAGGACAGTAAGGTCATGGCCCTGGAGAGTAACAGAGGGGAATTAAGGCTGCCTCAGTAAACATAAGAGACTTTGTCTCAGAAATGTTTTTTCTAAAACACTGGAGGTAGTTAGTTGTTCTAGAATTAATATGCCTCCCCAGGAAGAAATCAGTCCACTCTTAAAAGATTAATAAACAAAAACCTCTTTAACAACACTGTGCATCTGGCTACTGCTAAGAGGAGTCAGACTGGATTTTGCTGTCATTCTTAAGTCTCTTTTAGGTTCAGGTCCAGGGTATGCATTGAACAATTTAAATAAGGACCAAAGACGGCAATGCTAGCTCTGTTCTTGAACAGATGGAAATTTACAGAGGAAATCTATCTTCTATATCATACAATATGATCTACATTTAAAAGATGCTATCAATAGATTTTTAAAAAGATATATCACTGTCTTTAATTCTTACACATACAAATGGCAGAAAACACAAATACAGAAAACATCAAGGAAAAATCACCTATCAGCATTGTGCATGCTGTTCTTAAGTGAACAACTCTAGTCTCAGAATAAGGCTGCTTTTGCTTCTGGGCAGGCTGTCTCACAGGAAAGCCACAGAGGCTTTCATGCAGTAATAGAAGTTCATTTTAACTAGCTCTGCCTGCTCTGTCTTTGGGCTGTGACATCTCTGTAAGGAATTCCATTAAGCTTTATTTTTGTGTTTTGTATACATGTGTTTGCCTACAAGTGTCTATGCTCAATACCTGCAGAGGCCAGAAGAGGGAATCAGATCTCGTAGGACTGGAGTTACGGGAGATTGTTAGCTACCAGGTAGTTTCTGGGAATGGAACCTGTGTCCTCCATAACAACACCCATGGTTCTTAACTGCTAAATTGTCTCTCTAGACACTTTTATTAAAAATTTATTTTTATACACTTTAAATTATATCACTTTCCTCCTTCCTTGTTCTCTCTCCATCCCTTCCCAAATTCTTCCCTTCCAATTTCATCCTTGTTAAGCATGTGTGATTAACTTTGCACAACTTAATACATGAATAAAAACTTCTGAGTCCATTTCTGTTGGTTGTGTATATTTGGTTTCAGGCCTTAACATCTTGCTTTGGATATGCAATTAGAAAGTTCATTCCTGCCTGAGGCTAATTATCATACTTGGAGAAAAATTCCAGTGTTTAATGAGAAACAGGAGTCTGACCCTGAAGTGACCCAGGCTGCCTTGGACAGGAAACATTTTCAAAATTAGGAAACACTTGCTGGTGTCATGGCCCTGAAGGAGCCGCAGGGAAGACTATAGACTCTAGCCAGAGGCAATCTTGTCTCCCTTAGTTCTTTGGGCCTCCCACCACGCCCCATTGACTATTTTCAACTTAAATGACTTTGAAATCCTGAAACCCCCACCTCATCTTTTTCTTCCTTCCTGCCAGTTTGTTTCAAGACAGGGTTTCTCTGTGCAACAGTCCTGGCTGTCCCGGAACTCGCTTTGTAACCCAGGCCTGCCTCTGCCTCCCAAACGCTGGAATTAAAGGCATGCGCCACCATCACCCAGCTTAAAATTTTTTTTGTTGGTGGTGCTTTGTTTTTCCAGAGAGGATTTCTCTGTGTAGCTTTGGAGCTTGTCCTGCAACTTGCTAGCTCTATAGACCAGGCTGGCCACGTATTCACAGATCCGCCTGCCTCTGCCATCTAAGTGCTGGGATTAAAGGTGCACACCACTGTCTGGCTTCCTGCCTCCACTTTCTATGTACAATGCTTACAGGACTGTGGCACCATGCCTGCTTAAGCGACTTCAACTTCGCTTAGTGAGTCATTAGAATGACAGGATGAATAAGATGAGCAGTTACACTTAAGTATATTCAGAAACACTTAACTTCTGAGCCTGGGTTTCACCATCTGTAGAATAAGACAGAACCCTGCCCCAGTTCCTTGATGAGTTGTAACAGACTCAATGGTAAAGACAAACAATATTGCTCACAGCTGGAAGACAGTGGACTTTAAGACAGGAAGGCTGCAACTGATGGGAGCCTTCTTCTGTTAATGGAATTAGAACCAAAGCCTGCGTCCTGGCTACCCTACAACCATCTAGGCTCAGCTACTCATCCTTATTAAGTCAATTAGAAGAACTAAGTTATCAAGTTGTGATGTGCCCATTTATAAAACAGTCACTCTGGAGGCAATGTGGGAAGGTCTCTCTAATGTCCTAGGACAGCCTAGTCTATACAGTGAGTTCCAGGCCAGACAGGGAATCACAGTGAGGCTATTTGTTAATATAAGAAATAATAATAAACAAGAAAAAAGAAAACTACTAATAAAAATTGAAACATGATATTTATTCAGTATGACTAATTTGGAACAGTTATGAAGCTATAAGGTAATCAATCCATCCTTAGTTAGAAGGCAAGAGATACGCACAACTGAGAAACCTCACAAAGCCATAAAATGAATTTTTCTCATCCCCAAATCACTCCCAATTCTCAGCTTTCTCTGGAGCAAGGTATTCAGATCAGGAGTAAATGTTTCTTCAGCAGAGAAGTTTTCTTCTGAAGGACTCAGTCTTTGCCCAGAATGAGATTCCCAGGAAATCAGAATGTCATGGGGTGCACTATTTCACTAGCCACTGGGAGAGAGATAAATGTCTCTTTAGAATATCCTTATTCCTACCAGGCAGGCAGGTTACAGGGATGACCAGGTAGCGACAGAAGAGCTAATGCCTATGTGGAGACCACCAAGTGGGAGCCTGCAGAGTGCTGTCTCTGACAGCCACAAGTAGTTGCCAAAATAAGGTAAGAGTGGAAGACTTGGAGGGTGCAAAGCAATCATACCCAGGCAATTTTACACCTACGTGAGCTATTTCATCTTATTGAAGAGAAGTGTGATATCTAAAAGGGTTATCTTATTGTTTAAATTCATAAGGATTTTCTCCATGAGTTTACAGGTGCAAACAAAATAAAGAGGGACATCGTAACACTTGAATACCGTTGACACTTGCCAGATCTTTTTTCTCCAGAATGATCTTGTGTAACTGAACCTGCGTGTGTTGGATAAAGATCTTACTAAATCCATTACAGTCAGTTTCCCTTTGTTGTGAGTCCTTTCAGGTTCTCAAACACCAATATGATGTGCAAAAGCTTTAACAGACTGATTACACATGAAAGGTTTTTCTCTTTTGTAGGACTACCATGAAGTGCAAAGACTTTACCACACTGGCTAGATGTTTAGGGTTTCTCTCCACTATGATTCTCTCTCATGACTTGGAAGACGACTGTTACATGCAAAGGTTTAACCACACTGCTTGTATTCATAGGGTGTCCTGCAGCATGTGTTCTTTTATGGATTTGAAGGCTACTATGATGTGCAAAGGTTTTACCACACTGAGTACATTCATAGGGTTTCTCTCCAGTATGTGTTCTTTTATGGATACGGAGATAATTATGATGTGCAAAGGTTTTATCACATTGATTACATGCATATGGTTTCTCTCCAGTATGTGTTTTTTTATGTATTTGGAGACTAGTGTGACGTGCAAAGGCTTTGCCACATTGAGTACATTCGTAGGGTTTCTCTCCAGTGTGTGTTCTTTCATGTATTCGGAGATAACTATGATATGCAAATGTTTTACCACATTCACTGCATTCATAGGGTTTCTCTCCAGAGTGTATTCTTTTATGCATCCGGAGATAACTCTTATGTGCAAAGGCTTTACCACACTGATTACATTTGCAGGCTTTCTCTTCAGAATGTGTTCTTTTATGCATTCGGAGATGTCTGTTATGTGCAAAGGTTTTACCACATTGAGTGCATTCATAGGGTTTTTCTCCAGTATGATTTTTTTCACGATGCTGAAGAGTATAGAAATGTGCATAGGCTTCCTCATGTTGAAGACATTCATAGGGATTCTCTCCAGTATGGAGTCTTTCATGCCTTTGAAGGTGACTGTGACGTGCAAAGCCTTCACCACATTCATTACATTTGTAGGGTTTCTCTCCAGTATGTGTTCTTTTATGAACTCGGAGACTATTGTGCTGTGAAAAGGCTTTCCCACACTGATAACATACATAAGGTTTTTCTCCAGTATGTGTTCTTATATGTATTTGGAGACTAGTAGGTTGTGAAAAGGCTTTATCACATTGATTACATCTGTAGGGTTTCTCTCCAGTATGTGTTATTTTATGTCTTCGGAGACTACTGAGATGTGCAAAGGCTTTCCCACACTGCTTACATTCACAGGGCTTCTCTCCAGTGTGTGTTCTCTTATGTATCCGAAGATAACTGTGATGTGCAAAGGCTTTCCCACACTGACTACATTGATTGCGTTTCTCTCCAGCAGGAATTCTTTCATGTCTTTGAAGATGACTGTCATACGCAAAGGCTTTATCACTTTGAGTATATTCACAGGGTTTCACTCCAGTATTTCTTTCATGCCTGCAAAGATAATTGACACATTTAAAAGCTTTAACAAATACACTACACACATGAATCTTTTTACCTGAATAAGTCAATTCTACAATTTTGTCTCATTGTAAACATGGATCATATCTAAGGTTTTATCATTTTGTTTACACTCACAATATTCCCCTTAATTAACGGTTGTTATCACTGTAGATACCTGTGATGGTAAGAGCCACATGGCTCCCATTTATAGCATCCTCTATATGTTTTTTCACATATTTGAAGAAAACTGGAAGAACTCAGAGTTTTATCACACTGCATTCATAAATTTTTCAATAGTGAACTACGATAAACAGAATAATTACTACATTTCTAATACTAGTAGGGCTTCTCAACAGTGTTATATCATTGATGTACTCCTAATGAAGCTGGAAAAAACAACGAATTGTAAACTTGTATGGCATTCAACAAGTCTACTCAAAATGGGGACTATTACATATTATTCCGAGAGACAGAATAATAATACATATTAATATTACATATTATAATACATATTAATATTGCATAATATTAACATTACATAATAATACATATTAATAATATGTAATAATAATATTACATATTATTCCTTCTTTCCATGCTCAGTTGGCTTGTATTGAGTGACGTATGAACTACCTAATAAAGGAAGAATAGCCAATAAAAGGTTTCCACATTACATTCACACCATTTGTCTTTTGGTTCCTCATAGACCTGTGTATAGTATAGAGGTTAAGGTTTCTCCACAACAATCTTCTTGAGTCTCATAGACTGCTCCTCTCACTAAACTTTGCAAAGTTCCAACAAGTATATGAATAACATCAACTTTACCATGAACTATTTACTTATTAGAAGATTTTGGATATATATTCATCAGGTATGCCTTTTGGAATATTTGAGTGGTATGAAATTAAATGGATTGGCATTTTACAGCATAGCTGCCAAGGGGCTATGATTCAAAAGGTGATATCTGTTAAGGCACTTTTTTCCCTTATCTTCTTTCATATAAGAATGCTTTTCAAATACAAATCATTTCCCTGACATTGAGATACATGGTTTTGTGAGAATTTCACAAGCATCACTACACTTAAGGCTGTGCTTATTTTACACTGTTGCTTTGCCTTAAAACTTTGAGTTCACATTAAAATTTCTTAAGAGTCACACTTGCACATGAAAATTACCTTCCATGTCTTCTAGAAATTTGACAATGTTCTTCAATCTTATGGTCTCCCAAATTGTAGCCTAAAATATAGAACCAGAAAATCTATGATATATTATATGAAATTATGCAAAATTTAAGCTATTATCGTCAGTGACCTTGACCTTAGAACTCTACTTGATGTATTCACCTCATTCTTCCTTTCTCAATCAAAATGCAGAAGAGCATCAATAACCAAAAGCAGTTGCTCCCTCACTTTAAAAAGTGAAGTAAAATTCACAATCTTACCTACAGCAGTGAGGTTCCTGTAGGTGTCCAGCATCACATCTTTGTAGAGATTCTTCTGGGAAGGATCCAGCAAAGCCCATTCTTCCCGAGTGAAGTCGACATGCACGTCATCATAGGTCACTGCACTCTAAATTACCCCATACATGTGTACAACAGAAAGCGTGACACAAACAGCACTGTAAATGCATAGTCTTTGACAACATATTCCTATAATTCTGATGCTCCCCACACTTACTCCATGGCACAGAATTTTGACTGCAATCACCAAGCCACTTTAGAAGGAAACTGAATAGAAGGCTCACCTCTGTCATCCTTGCTCCCTTTGAATGGGATACAACCTTGCAAGAGAAATGCTAATTAACAGACTTAAAGAGAGAAGCAGACAAATCAACAGTACTGAGTACACACCAGAGACACTGTATGAACAATTACTAACTACAGAAAAAGATGGACAAGCTGGGTGTAATGGGTCATGCCTTTAATCCCAACACTCAGGAGGCAGAAGGTATAGCTTATTGAGTTGGATGCCAGCATGGTCTAAGCAAAGAAACCCAGGACAGCAAGACGTACATACTAAGACTCTGTCATCTGCAAAAATCAATCAAACAAAAAGAGAGAGAACTCAGAGATTTTTAACTGAAGTTCCTAAAAGATTTATGGGATTTGTATTCATTTTCCAGAAACCTGAAGCACCCCAGTTCAAAGTGTAGCATTAATAAGATCTTATTAGAAGAGAGTACATGATTAAACAGTTACAAAAGGACAGATGAATCGGTAGCCATGTAAATGTTGTTCATAAATAAACAACAGGCAGGAGAGATGCCCAAGTAGCTCTTCCTGGAAAATGGATGGGTAGAGCCAGAGTTCCTGCAGATCCCCGCAGCAGGCTTGATTTTAGAATGTTAGCCTCTGGGCTTTGATCTCCCTTTTGTGATTGTCACTTTTTGTGTTAGCTACCTTTTGTTTGAAGTACATAAATCTTATCTTGAGTTCTTCCTAAAAGGTTCAATGCTGTGGGAAAATCTTTTTGTATACTGTGAAGATGTGTCTCTGCCAAGGTAACTTATTTGTCTAACAAAGAGCTGAACAGCCCACAGCTAGGCAGGAGGGGATAGATGGGACTTCCGGGCAGAGACAGGAACTCTAGGACAGAATCAAAGAGGTGGAGATTCACTAGCAAGATGTACAGTGTGGAGGAAAGGTAACAAGCCGCGTAGCAGAACATCGATTAATAGAAACGGATTAATTTGAGTTTTAAGAGCTAGCTGGGAACAAAGCTAAACTAAGGCCAAGCTTTCATAATTAATAAGAAGTCTTCTTGTCACTATTTGGAAGTTGGTGGTCCAAAGAAAGTCTGGCAATAGTTCAAAGTCTATGCAAACCTTGGTTGTAGAACTCAGAAAACTGAAAGATTCTGTGACTAAAAATTGCTTTGGCATTTGTCTTCTTTGTAGAGTTTCAAATAAGAGGTTTTGGTATGTGGAAATTGACTTCCAAATGTGTAAATTGTATAACAATTATAAAAAAAAGCCCTTTAAGAAGCAACAGGCAGTCAGTTCGCCAGGAGATGGCCCCCTGCCTGTGGCAAAAGTCAAAATTCATCCTTGAGTGATTCTTTTTCTTCCACGAACTGATATAAAACTGAACATCGGACTCGACTCTGGGTGCCCATATCACAAGGCTTGAAGCAAAGGGTGGATATGGCTGCTCAAAGACTGGAGGTAAAAAGTGTACTCTCAGGGTAAAAAACTTGGGAGCAACAAAATGGACAGTTGCTAAGACACCTGTTATCAGAAACATTAACTGCAAAATTATTACAAATATTAAAGATAAAAATAGAATGGATCCAGAGACAAAGAATAAATTAAGGAAAAAGTCCCTTCTCAGGAAAGAAAAGGAAATTATAAAATGAAATTTTCTTGATGGAAAAGGGAAGATTTTAAACAAAAAGGGATTTTCCTGATAGAAGGGAAAATGTTGAATCAATATCTAAAAATTAAAAGGCCCTATAAACAAAAAATAAATAAAAGAAGAAGGCCTCTTCCCAGTAGAAATGGAAGAAGGAAAAAGGTTGTTTCCAATAAAAGAAAAAAAAAAAACTGAAGATAGCTGGGACTCAGAGTTCTCTGACTCCATGCTACCTGTCTGACCGGTCAGCCAGGAGCCAGCCTGCCATTACAGAGTGTCTGCATCTCAATTCTAAAGAATGATGGGGGTGAGGGGGAGTTCCACTGCTGCAGCCTGAGCTGGCACAGCCTATCCAGAGGAAAATTCAATAAGAGTCAGGGCACAAAGTACTAAACCAATGTTGTTTGAATTTCCAGAGGTATTAGTCATTCACTGTATGGAGGATGTTCTCTTTTCTTGATCATCTAATTAATGTTTAAATGAATATTTAATTTTCATAGTAAATAAACAAAAGAGGAAAGTCCATGATTTTAAACTATATTATTTGGTATGCTCTTGTCTGTTTATCATTACTTTCTGGAAATTTTTGGTTAAACTCTATAAAAATGTAACGCCTGGGTTGTTAGCTTATTAAATACTAAGGCTACTATGACAAAAGCTTATAAAAACAATCTCTTACTGATAAAGAGGCTACAAAATTATTTTCTACTAAATAAAACACAGGTAAATTGTTTGTTCTACACTTTTAATAATTGATGAGTTGCATTAACATGTTACTTGGGACCTATAAAAATAAATTCTCTTTTTAAGATTTTATAAAAATACCCAATGGGTATTGTCTCAAGTTACCTCTTAAAATCCTATAGATATTGTTTTTAATGTTTTCATAGATGTCTTATAAAAAGAACTATGTAAATAAAAGCAGATGACAGACTTGCTCAATTGTTATTACTCAGATATTTTAAAGGTAAAGCAGCTCCAATATATAGGTTAGGAGTTTAGAAAAGAAAAGTATTTTGGCAAACTGTTATTAATGATGACAGCCCAAAGCTAAATTACAAGTAAAAGACACTGAGATTAAAAATTTTAGTCTACATGAAGCTGATGTATCTATAATTTCTCAACCAGTTTTTACAAGAAGTCTTCACTCAATTTTTAGGCATTAGAACATTATCTCAAGTGAAACAAAACAGAGTGGATTAAATGTATAGAACCTGAAGGACAAGTAGGGATATTAAAGCCATGTGTGGCTGGGATAGCCATGAATTTATGGGTAATGATGTATTACAACATTGAGGCACTCAAATTAGTAGTCCTACAATTTAAGAAACAGCTTATAAAATAATGTTAAAAATGGGATATGCTCTTGGAAAAGGTATTAGAAAGAATTATCAAGGAGAGTCACAGGCTATAGAGGTTGTCCAACAGCAGGACAAAACAGAAATTGGCTACTCAAACTTGGAGTAAGGGCCACTGCAGTAACCCAACTGCTCTGCCTTTATAAAACATCTAAGTAATAAGTCTGTGTGGGCACAGCAGGAGCCCTTGACTAAACATTTCAGGCACTTGAAAAACTAGTTTAAAAAGTTAGATGCTAAACACATTTGAGGAAACCACTAGTATTTGTAATAAAAAAAGAAATCTGGAATATAGAAATGTAAACTGATTTGAGAGCTATAAATAAAGTAATTCAACCTATGAGATCTTTACAGCCTGGAATTCCTTTACCTTACTTATTACCTATAGGTTGGCCTATTATAGTAATTGATTTGCAAGATTGTTTACTATCCCTTTATAAGAACAAGATAGAGAAATTTTTGCTTTTACAGTGCCTACTTATAATAATGTCTAGCCTGTAAAAAGACATAAATAGAAGGTCCTTCCTTAAGGAATCAGTCCAAATTTGTGTCAATATTTTCTGCACCAACTACGGGAAATAGCTCATAAACAATTTCCTCAATCTATTATTTACCATTACATGGATATTTTATTGGATGCTTCTGATACAGATACCTTAGAAAGAAGGTTTACTGTAGTACAAGAAATTTTAGCCTTTTGGAGATTACAAATTTCTCCTAAAAAAAAAAAAACTAAGAGGAGATGGAGATTCTCTTAGGCATTTAAGATTTAAATTAAATAAACAAAGAATCCAGCCACAAAAGGTACAGATTAGAAAATATCAATTGCACACTCTTAATGATTTTCAAAAATTATTGGGTGATATTAACTAGCTGCATCTTACCACTGGATTAACTACCTAAAAATTAAGTAATTTACTTTAAATTTTGCAGAGCGACTCAGACTTTAACAGTCCAAGGAAATTAATAGCTGAAGTAGAAAGGAAATTGGTCCAAGTAAAACAAGAATTACAAAATGCCTATGTGGACAGATCAGATCTCATAACTGAATGTATTTTAGCTGTTTTACCTTCTACCTATTCCCCTACTGGACAAAGAGAGGATAACATTTTAGAATGGATTTTCCTAGCTCACAAGCAGAGGAAAAAGCTAAAAGTCTATATAGAAAAGGTTTCTGAATTACTTATAAATGAAGAATAAGACTTCAACTATTGTCAGGAATAGATCCAGCTGAGATTGTAATAGCCTATACTAACGCTGAAATTATGCAATTGTGGATGATGTATGATGATTGGCAAAGACCTTGTAACAATTTCTTAGGAGATACTAATAACAAATATCCAGAAAGGATGCAACTTCAACTTACAAAAAAACTAAATGGATTCTTCCCTTCATAGTGACAAAAGCACTGGGGGGTGGGGGTGGAACTTACATTTTATATTGATGGAAATGAATTAGGAATGTCTGGGTATAAAGCAGGAAATGTAAGTAAAGCAACTCAAAGTCCGCATGCTTCAGTTAAAAAATCAGAGTAATATGCCATTCTAATAGTTTTATTAGATTTTAATGAATCTCTTAATATAATTATTGATTCTGAATATGCAGAAGGGTTATATTGCATATAGAAACTGATGAACTTATTCCTGATAATTCAGAATTAACTTTGCTGTTCATGCAACTGCAACAAGAAATCTGGAACAGAAATTGCATACTATGTATCACTCATATTTGGTCTCACACCAGGTTGCCTGGCCACCAATAAAAGGGAATGAAGAAATTGGTCAGTTATTGATAGAAAATGCATTGGAAGAATTTCATAAGAAACACAATGTTGATAGTAAAGGCTTAAAAAATATTTTGT